CCAACTACACGTTTTCTGGCAGAGCCAACAATCCACGAAACCTTGCTCTGATACCAATTGTAGGAACACGCCGGTGAGGGCTGTTCATTCCCACGGATCGTTGTTGGATGCCAACGCGTACATACATGGTATTAAACGATCCTAAGCATGCTCCTATAAGAATGAACTAGAGATGTACCCTTTTTGGAACCACCAACAGCAATCACGAACAGGTTGATTCCGCTAGAGACCTTCCAGACTGTTCCCAAACCCCGCTCGAACACCGGATGGGCGGCGATCTATCAAACGGAGGGAGACGAATTTTGCTCTTCGTGAAACCCTAGAGCTGACGGCTTGCACCTGTGGTTTTCGCCTCTTTTTAAAAAAAACGTCACTAGGGTTTGACAAAGACCGCATATTAATAAGTCTCCCAACAGGTAATTGGGCCAGACCGGGGATCTTTAGAAGGTGTTGGGCTCGGGCTCCCTTATAGATCCAAATCTCTATATTCAGCCCTGAATATAATTCGAATCATAAAATATTAATTCATTCCATTAAAGAATTAATATTGCACTCCCAGCCCAACCCAAATTGAATCTGGGCTTCTATTAAACTTAATTAATTCCCCATGTTTAAGATGTTCCACATCCATTAATTAATTAAATCTTCTGACAATTTAATTAATTAATATCTTTTAATTCCTTAAGTAATACCACTCAAAACTTATTATTGTACGGATTAAATCCACCTGCAGGGTTTATACAATAATCCTTATTGAGTTCCTTAAGGGGATGTCATCAACCTGGATGTCCAGGACATGGTGCCTTAATGATAATAAATTAATTACTATGCGAATAATGTAGTTGCCCAAAATACGAAGCATGTTGAATCACTAAGGATTCTCACTTATGGTAAATTAAAGCAACGAACATTTATTCCATATATTTAATTTATTTCATCTAAGGTTAAGAATTAACAGAGTTACCGAGATCTTGGTTCTTCAATGTCAGAATAGAAGAACATATCTCAACTGTGATCCTTTCAATGTGACGCAGCACATTAGTGTAAACTAATAGTCAAGACAAACTAATTCCAAGTTTACACTACAACTTAAACCGATGGTTTTGTCCATAACCATCTCAGTTGTGAAACCCATTTATATTTAATAAAGAACTGACAACAAGATCTTCTGTGTGATCTCCACACACCATGTTGTCTACAATATTAAATAAGTGGACATGCTAATATATATAAAACATAAATAAAAGCAACACAATGTGAAATAACAATTTATTTATTCCAGTTAATAAGGAAATTGAATAATACAAAAGCGTACTAAAAGTTTGCTTTACAGTATAATCCAACAATCTCCCACTTATACTAAAGCTAAACTTTTAGTATACAATGCAAAAACATATCTCAACTGTGATCCTTTCAATGTGACGCAGCACATTAGTGTAAACTAATAGTCAAGACAAACTAATTCCAAGTTTACACTACAACTTAAACCGATGGTTTTGTCCATAACCATCTCAGTTGTGAAACCCATTTATATTTAATAAAGAACTGACAACAAGATCTTCTGTGTGATCTCCACACACCATGTTGTCTACAATATTAAATAAGTGGACATGCTAATATATATAAAACATAAATAAAAGCAACACAATGTGAAATAACAATTTATTTATTGATACCAGCTCGGGCTCCCTTATAGATCCAAATCTCTATATTCAGCCCTGAATATAATTCGAATCATAAAATATTAATTCATTCCATTAAAGAATTAATATTGCACTCCCAGCCCAACCCAAATTGAATCTGGGCTTCTATTAAACTTAATTAATTCCCCATGTTTAAGATGTTCCACATCCATTAATTAATTAAATCTTCTGACAATTTAATTAATTAATATCTTTTAATTCCTTAAGTAATACCACTCAAAACTTATTATTGTACGGATTAAATCCACCTGCAGGGTTTATACAATAATCCTTATTGAGTTCCTTAAGGGGATGTCATCAACCTGGATGTCCAGGACATGGTGCCTTAATGATAATAAATTAATTACTATGCGAATAATGTAGTTGCCCAAAATACGAAGCATGTTGAATCACTAAGGATTCTCACTTATGGTAAATTAAAGCAACGAACATTTATTCCATATATTTAATTTATTTCATCTAAGGTTAAGAATTAACAGAGTTACCGAGATCTTGGTTCTTCAATGTCAGAATAGAAGAACATATCTCAACTGTGATCCTTTCAATGTGACGCAGCACATTAGTGTAAACTAATAGTCAAGACAAACTAATTCCAAGTTTACACTACAACTTAAACCGATGGTTTTGTCCATAACCATCTCAGTTGTGAAACCCATTTATATTTAATAAAGAACTGACAACAAGATCTTCTGTGTGATCTCCACACACCATGTTGTCTACAATATTAAATAAGTGGACATGCTAATATATATAAAACATAAATAAAAGCAACACAATGTGAAATAACAATTTATTTATTCCAGTTAATAAGGAAATTGAATAATACAAAAGCGTACTAAAAGTTTGCTTTACAGTATAATCCAACAACTATAAGATTCATTTTCACCTAAAGAGCCACAATATCCAACAACTATTTTTCAATCAAAACATAATATACCAATCAATTTAACATTGAAAACTTATTACTCACTTAGAGAAATGCATATCCAACACCCCCGAAGCATTCAAAGCACAAACACACCCTAATTTTATTTTTTTCATATTGAAGAAGAATAGAAGCTTGATGGAGATGGGATATACCTTGCATAAGCAATGTGCTTTTCGACGACTTCTTTCCCTTCATCATCAATGCTGAACCATTTCTTGTCCAAGGTAAGAGAATCCCCATTTCCAATATCCATTGGGAGTAATAGTTGTCAAAAATAAGCTTTAGGTATAAGCATTAGGTGATAAAAATCACAAAACATAGATTACACGACTTACTTTGATGCAGTACTTCCGAATCCTCCAAACATTTCAATTTCCAGTACACATGGCCACCAGAGCCCACCAGTATTGGCTCTGTTCTTACAGCATCTGAGTTCTTAGTTTCTACAAAATTTTAGTGTAAAATAAATGCTTTACATAACATAAAGTTACAACAAACAAAAAGTAGCAATGTGATTAAATGGCAATGTGCAAACAAATATAGTATGAAGATACAAAGGGACTATAATATACTTACTCTTTGGAACCATGGCCTTTTACTCGAGGACCTCAGCCCGAGCCTGCTCCATCTCTCATTTGGTACCAGAAACAACGGCTTCATGCTCCGAAATGGAAATTGGGCCACCCTCTTTGGCAGAAATTGCTTGGGCAATATCATCTTTCATTATCTGCTTCAACTGCTTCTCCTGCATGTTGTTCAGGTATTCGAGAATGAAAAATCTGAGAAGCAGAAGTCATGGTTAGAAAATTATTTACCAATATTTATTACCTTATCCATTGCCGCATTAATTTTTTGTTTAGCTTCTTTGACCTTGCTGGAAAGTTTTGCATTATCTTATTCCATCCTAACTCCTCATTTTTTCTATCCACTGAAAAAAAAAAAATAAAAATAAATAAATAAATAAATGTAGATTGTAGACATGTGAGCTTAAAAATCTATCACAATGAAATAAAAGGGAGAGCAAGGGCTTCATCACAGAGAATGTTTAAAAGCCCAAGCTTTTCGGAAGCAGTGAAAGTATCATAATTATCTGTGCTCTCCAGAGAATCAACTCCCTCTGCTTTAAGAACACTTTGGGATGGAGACACGCATTTCTTGAGCACATTAAACCATGAGTTCTCCATATCTGATGTGCTGAGTTCCGCAGATCTATTCAAGAATAAAAATGTAACCAATTGTCAAGTCACTGAGGTAAATTAAATACAGGAAAGTTATATTTGATGTGGAGTAGCAGCACATATTCCTTCTAATGCTCCCGTAAATGAGACAGGAGGTTAATATGAAACTGGATATTCGGAACCAATTTTCCTCTGCATCCAGTTCTCACATCATAGATGTCTTCAAGAATAAGTTCTGCTTGCTCCTTTTTAACATCAAAGACCTGTTCATCCAAAACTAAAAAAAACCAATGAGAAAAACAACAAAGAGAGGAATTTAAAAAGGTTTCACAAACAAGTCAAATTAAACACAACACACATCACAAACATTAACTACAATAACATTAGGGAAGTAGCCGTCTAGGCCCAACATCCATCTCATCGTGGAAGTAACGGCAGACCTAGAGATTTTCTCAGGAGGGGTTGCGCCATAGACTTGAAGAACACAAGATTCTTTAGATCTGTTGGTTATTTTGTTTTTATTGGATTTATTCGAAGATAAGGAATATCATATCGACCTATTTTTTAGAAGGGTCGCATGGGGTGCGTGCTCGAGAAAGCATATACGACATTGAATGAAGTGTTTAATAATAGAGTGAAGGTGAAAATTATAATACATGAATTTGTATATGGATGTATGTTTTAGTCATGACCATGACTAAAAAGAGAGTTATACACTGTTATTCACCTGTATGAAGAATCACGGTATTTACCGTGATATATTTTGAAAATTATTATTTTGAAAAGTAAGAATTAAACTAAATTAATTCTGAAATAAAACTCTCAAAATTCAGAGTAAATTTGTTGATTAATGTGCTATGATGAATAATGTGCTTTGTCTAATTTATAGTTTTCATTATATTTTATAGACTCTTGGTTTCTAAGAGATACAATAAATTATTATAACTTGAAAGGTCTTCCACGTAGAATAAAAGGGTGATAATGTAAGTAAGATTATGAATGAGAAATTATATTGAGTCTTATCACCTTCCTCGTTGGTTCACCTATCTTTCAATTAACAAGAACTAGTATCAGAGCGCTGCGATTCCTTTTCTATCCACTTCAACATTTACCTTCAAATTGTCCAACACAAGTGATTCACAACCAATTCCCATTTTTTCAGGAGAAAATTATGACCAGTGGGTTGTGAAAATGAAAACGATACTCATCTCCAAGGATTTGTGGGACTATATTGAAGATGGGTTTGAAGAACCTCAAGATCCGGCGGCTCTGGATGATGTAGCCCGAAAAATATTGAAGGAAAATCGAAAGAGGAATGCAAAAGCTCTCTCTTTTATCCAACAAGGTCTATCAAGGGAGTTGTTCTCAAGGATTATGAGAACAATCATCGCGAAAGAAGCTTGGGAGATTATTCAAAAGAAGTTTCAAGGTGATTTGAAGGTAAAAAATATTAATCTTCAAACACTTAGAAGGGAATTGGAGAATTCAAAAATGAAAGAGTCTGAAGGTGTTCAGAATTACTACACTCGGTTGATGAGCATTACTAATCAAATGAGATCACTTGGTGAGGAAATTAGAGATAGCAGAGTGGTGGAGAAAATTCTGGTTAGTTTGCCTCCCAGTTATGATAGCATGGTCATTGTCGTTGAAGAAACTAAGGATATTCTCTCCTTGACGATCGAAGATGTGATGGGTTCATTAAAAGCCTATGAGAAGAGAATGGAAAGACACTCTGAAAAATCAATCGAGAGTGCTTTCCAAACTAAGCTAAATCTGGGTACTAAAGAAGGTGAAAAAAATAGTGAAAGTGGTGACCAAAAAAGGGGAAACATATATGGTGGACAAGGTCGAGGCAGAGGAAGAAGTTCAAGAGGTGGAGGAAGATACAATGTCGATGGAAAAAGGCAAGCCTTTGATTGAATAGGGAACTGTATAATTTGTGGGAAAATTGGTCATCATTCGGATGATTGTTGGTTTAAAGGCAAACCAAAATGTTACCACTGTCAAAAATTCGGTCATAAGGAGAAAGATTGCAGGAGCAAAAATCAGCAGCAGTCGGTCCATTTTTCTGAAGAAATGGAAAGTAAAAGGAATTTTTTTTATGCTTGTCAAAGTGCAGCGGAATACAAGAATGATGTATGGTACGTTGGCAGTGGTTGTAGTAATCACATGACGGGAGATAAATCAATTTTTGTGGATATGGATAGCTCTATAGACTCACAAGTGAAGATGGGAAATGGAGCTGTGGCAAAGGCGCTTGGAAAAGGTACAATTTGTGTGCAAATAAAGAAGGGGGCAAAGTATATTATGATGTTTTACTTGTTCTAGATTTGGATCAAAATTTGTTGAGTGTTGGGCAACTTGTGGAGCATGGATATACCGTAAATTTTAAGGATAATTGATGTTTAATATTTGATAAAAGTGATGCACAGCAGCTAGTCGCCTCAATTAAGATGGAGAGTAATCGAAGTTTTCCGCTTGTTTTCAAGTATGGAGGAAATGTCGCCATGAATGCTCACACACTTGAAGATTCATGGTTATGGCATAAAAGACTCAGGCACTTGAATTTCCACAGCCTTAAGCTACTTCAAAAAATGAATATGGTTCAAGGTCTTCCAAAAATTGATGAGATCCATGAAGTTTGGCGAAGGATGTGCACTTGGGAAGCGTCATCGCCAATCTTTTCCCAAAGGAGGTGCTTGGCGCGCTACGGAGAAATTGGAGTTGATTCATTGGCAACTGAAATTTGATAATTGTAATTTGTACAAATCCACAGGGAATTTATATTCGAAAATCAGTTGGTGGAAGTTTATAGAAAAGCGATCAGATATAGTAAATTTTTTGTGGTTGTAGACCTTGAGTAGTTATCACAATTATTTATACTCTTTTTACTGGTGAGTTTCCAGGTCGAACACAAGGATTTTAATTCATGAATTTCAAAAGATGAAGATCTTGAGAAAGCGATGAAAATTGAAGGAAAGGATCCGCTGTGCAGTGGATCAAAACTTCTAGCCTATTGAAAGCGGTAAATAAAGCGGTAAAAGGGATAAGCGGAAGCGAGCGAAGCGAGGGCGTAAAATGAAGTGCCAATGGTAACCAGATGATTGGGACATGAGCAGAAGCGGGAATCAAGTGAACGGAACATGGATGAATGGCGGTTACCGAGTGATTGGGAGATGAGTGGATGGCACAATATGTATATATATATGTATATAAGTGAATGACAAAGAGTGAAGGAGAGGTATTGTGTCTGACTTGTGAGTTACTAAATGAATAGATTCTTCTGGATGCAATAAACGAGTGATGTAAGTGTGTTAACGAAGATATATGTATATCACGGAAATGGTTAGAAAGGGATGATGTAATTATATAAATTGAAATATAAAGAATTCATAACACTGGAATTTGACCTTAAGGGATTTACAACAAGACTTCAATGACACCCAGAATCGAGACATTATAAGAAAGAAACCCTACTATCACTAGGAATCTCTGTGACCTAATAGACCACCGTCTATACCTCATTAATTATCCCAACTTTTGCCTCATTAGTGGCTTTACCTTTATGTTACCTCTTTCTAATCAAAATTGAATTCAGAACAGTAGTTAAGTAGGTCGACAAGGTTCCCGCGTACTTAACTACATTGAACTACCTTGAAACCGCTTTTGACGTAAAACAAGGCTCAGATTAATCAATTCTTCTCATGCTCTAAACTAGTGAAATGAAGTTCTTTGAATTCAAAGTTTATATAAGTATGGATAAAGTGTGGAAGAGATGAGGATGAAGAACTGAAGGATATTTCATTATTTACTACTAAAGCTAGAAAGATTAGAACTACAGAGCTGTAATCGAAAGCAGTAATCTAATCTAAGAAAACGGTAAAGACTTGGTCAAGGGAGGAGGGAAATCCCTACTCCATTGGCCATTTATGTGGATAACTCCCTTACAGGGTTGGAGCTCTCGGAAATAGGAAGATGACTGAACTGCAGAAAGTAACTGCTAAAAATACGCCAAAAATCGAAGTTTTTACATAGAGATATCTGGCCCTATTTATAGTAGGTGAATTGGGACGGTTGCAAGCAGTTGCTGGGCAGTTCCAACTGCTGGGCAGTTAGGCGGTTTCTGGTAGTTATTCTGTTGAAGTAATTGCTGGCCATAACTCCCAGGTGCCCGCTTCGCTTGCATTGAATTGTAAACGCTCAGATCTTCCTCGCTTGCCGAAGAGCTTAAGGGCATCAGTGCAGTTAGGCTCGCTTGTGCTGGCTGGAAATGAGATGGCTGAACCGCTGCAGTTGGAACACTTAGTCGCAATCTGGTGACATTCTGGAGCGGTGGGTGTCTGGGCTGTCGCTTGCAAGCGGGAGAGGCTATCGCTTGTGAGCGATGGAAGCTACCACTTGCCTCTCGTGCCTTAGTCATTTTCAGTAGATATTCTAGGTGCTTGCAATCAGAGGAGGCTATCGCTTGTGGCACATGCCTTAGCTTTTCTGGCACCAGACTACTGCTTAAAAAGGGCAAAAAAAATTGTTAATAAAGTCAACAACGAAATATGGATCATGTCAAGCGATATAGATCAATAATGTATGCCATTAATGGGTTATTATGATGGTTTTTATACAAAAATTCGAGTAATACACCGTTTTGTCAAACTAAGAATATGATCATATTTGGAGTCATCAAACCTCCTCACACTAAACCTTTGTTCGTCCTCGAACAAACTGCAGTAAAAGATCACAAGGTTATTTTGTTCACTGGAATCAAGAATTGTTAACAACCAGTGTCATGATTGAGAGCAACGTGAACCTCAAATAGAAACAAATGAGCCGTAAGCATTCAGCTTGCCATTTGCTTTAACACGATTGAAGTTATCCAGGTATCGTCTACTTTGTTTGCTTAGCAGGGAATATTTTTTTGATCAAGGAAACCTTCAGCCGAAGGGCGCGGAGAATCATTTTTTTTTATCGAGAGTTTCAAACAAACATTGTGTCTGCTCAAGATCTTATTTGTTTCTCACGTACCTAGGCCTTTTAAGTTCCTTTGTAATGATAGGTCCTCCCTGCTTCGCTCACATTGTATCTTAAACCATATTTAAGGACTTCTCCTTTCAAGTTATTTCTTATGAACACAGTTGAAAAACATAGATCCGCTTGTCCTACTGAGTGTGGAAAAGTTTGAAACGAAGGGGACACTAATCTTCACAAGTCTCATTCGATGTTACTTAGTTTAACACTAATGTTCGAGTTATTGTGAAGTTCAAAGGACAATTATTTGGTCTGATGTATTTAAGTTATCTAACTTTACTCTAAAACATATCACAGAGTTAACTTAGCAGGATATCACAGGCATTCCACATAAAAACACATACTTCAGGTTATGTTAGGCATACAATAAAGAAAAATTGTCACTTGTTACCAAAAATTGTTGCCTCGTTGATCAATGTTATATACAACCTTTTCCGTTTCTGGGTTATGTATATGGGGGAGGACCTTCCTTCATTTTCTTTTCTCGCTTGAGGGTCCTCGCCCCTGAGGAAGGTTTTGTGTCAGCTGCTGCATTAGATATTCCTTTCTTTGGAGGCTTCTAGCTGTGTCAAGCTGTTGTTCTATGAGGATGGCATTTTGTTGGGTGATTGCTACGAGTGCTTTCAGAATTTCTGTCAGCGATGCAGCCATGCTTGCAGCTTGAGTCTCTAGTTCCTCTACTCGCGCTTCTAGTGCGGCGCTTACCTTCTTGCTAGTGGCCAGTTCCTCAGCCAAATTCCTTGCATAAGTGTATCATGGTCTGGGTCATCAGGTATTGGCTGAGTATGGCTGAGTCGAGTTCCTCCAGTCTTCTTTCGATATTTTCAAATGCGAGCAAGGAGCTAATGGTCCTGCTTCCGCCGCTGCTGGTGACTGTCGCTCGGACTCAGCAAACTGATCTCCACTGGTACTTCTTCTTTTTGGGAATCGGGTGTTAGTTCAGGGGTGACGTCCCTGAGGAAAACCAGTTGCCTTGCTGCCTCATACTCCAGCTGCTTTGCTTTCTTTCACTCTAAGTATCTCCTAAATTGCAGCTGAGTTGGGTCAGCGGCTTCCAATACTTTAGCAACTTGACTAGCACCTTTATCGTTCTCCTCTTCTGTCGCTCGAGCTGCCGAAGTTGTTCAATGTGTTGTATTTCGGCGAAAAGCTGAGCTTGTTTCTCTTGGAACTTCCTATCCTCTTCATCCTCCTCCTCATCGATAATTGTTTTGTCTGATTTGGCTGAGGCCGGAGTCAGAGTCTCTGCAGGTGTCCCAATCGTGGCTGGTGTTCTTGGGCTGTGTGGGGACACTTGCAAAAGTGGAAGATTTGCGATTACTGCCTCCACCTCTTCAGCTTCATTGGCAGCTTCAGTGGTTGTGGCAGTGGGGACCTCGGCGTGATATTCCTTATAGGATTCCACTGTGACATCGATCCCGCTGATGGTTTCTTCAGTGAGCACATCTCCCGCTCCTCCTCTGATCCAACAGCAGTAGGCTCCACCGCTCCTGGCTGGTTAACGGGTGTGGTTTCCTTGCCTGTTCCAGCAGCAGTTGGCTCACCTGTCCCCTGCTGGTCAAAGGAAACAGGTTCATCGCCAAGCGGACTCGGCACTTCGGGTGACACCTCTACCGTCTCTGGCCTCACTGGCGAAGGTCTCTTGGGTTGGGCGGTGGGTTCTCTGATGACGATCCCCTTCCGTAGCCTGTAAAGAGGGATCGTGTCTTCGCTTGCCTTTACATCCACGGCTTTCCCCTTTCCTGTTTCCTGCCTTGTCGCTTGCCGAGGGGGTGTTGGATTTTTTCGGAGTGCTTCCTTGACCCTCGGCTTCTTGACAGGCGCTGGAGCAGGGTCTTCTTTCTTCTTTGACCTCTTCTCGCCAGTGGCTGCTTTCGGCGCTTTTCCTCTCTTATCAA